CTCCTCTGATGCTGCTTGGCCTGCTGTGTTCATCCAGCTCTACACCTTGTTATCTCAGATTCTCCAGCATCTGCAGTTCCTACTATCTTTTTTTTAACTCCCTCTTTTCATATTGAGTTCAAATTTCACTGTCTACTATGGTGGGATTTGATCTCAGATTCCCAGAACATTACCATGGATTTTCATCACAGTGCCATTGTGCGGAGTCAACATGGGATTTATAAAAAGGAAATCACATTTGACAAATCTGTTAAGAGGTTTTGAGGGTGGAACAAGCAGGGTAGATGTGAATTGGGCATGGAGCGTATTTGGATTTTCTAAAATAATTGATAAAGGTCCACACAAGATAATACATGAAATTAGGACTGAAAGGTTTAGGGTTAATATATTAGCATGGATCAAAAATTAAATAGTAGACAGGAAGTAGTAATTAAGAAAAAAAAATCATTTTTGCGTTGCTAGACTATAGCTAGTGGGGAACCACAAGGATCAGTACTTGAGCCTCAGCTATTTACAATATATATCAATATGACTTAGATGAGGCAACTGAGCATAATAGTTGCAAGGTTTCTGATGATACAAAGTTAGTCTGAAAATAAATTGTGAGGTGGTCACAAATGAATATAGTCAGATTAAATAGGTGGGTTAGAATATGACAGAAGTAATATTGTGTGGATAAGTGTAAAGTTATTCACTTTGGTAGGGAAAAAAAAACAAAATACAGAATGCTAGACAACAAGGTGCAGGGCTGGATGAACACAGCAGGCCAAGCAGCATCATAGGAGCAGAAAGGCTGACGTTTCGGGCCTAGACCCTTCATCAGAAAAGTGGGAGGGGAAGCATGAAAGGGTCTAGGCCCGAAACGTCTTTGACCTGTCCGTCCTCCCTGGACTGACCTGTCCCCTCCCTAACTCCCCACCTACACGCACCTTTACTGGCTCCATCCCCGCCTCTTCGACCTGTTTGTTTCCTCTCCACCTATCCTCTCCTCTATCCATCTTCTATCCGCCTCCCACTCTCTCCCTATTTATTTCAGAACCCCCTTCCCCTCCCCCTTTTCTGATGAAGGGTCTAGGCCCGAAACGTCAGCCTTTCTGCTCCTATGATGCTGCTTGGCCTGCTGTGTTCATCCAGCCCTGCACCTTGTTGTCTCGGATTCTCCAGCATCTGCAGTTCCTACTATCTCAAATACAGAATGCTGTTTGAATGGTGAGAGATTAGGAAATGTTTTTATGTAGAGGGATTCAGGTGTCCTTGTACATGAATCATGAAAAGTTAAATGGATATCCATGAAACAATTTTCAAGCAAGTTGTATGTTAATTTTTGTTACAAAGGAATTGGAGTATGTGTAAAAACCTGCCTGACTGCAATTAAATAGTGCCTCAGTGAAACCTGACCTCATTGGTCTAAATCCTAAGGAAGAAATATACCTGCCATACAGATGGTACGATGAAGGTTCACTCCACTGGTTCCTAGGATGAGGGGGCTGTCCTATGAAGAAAAATTGAGTAGATTAAGCCTTTGTCCCCTAAAAGTTTAGAAGAATGAGAGGTCATTTCTTATAAACATGTACATTTTGTAAGATCCTTTACAGGATAAATGCTGGGAGGATAAAAGGTCACTGGACTCACTTAATTCTGATTTCTTCTCTGCAGATGCTGCCAGACCTGCTGAGTTTCTCCAGCTCTTTCTGTTTTTGTTTCAAACGCTGGAAAAATATGTTCACACTTGGAGAGTCCAGAACTAAAAATCAGAATTTCCAGATAAGGAGCTGGCCATTTAGGATGGTGATAGGTAGAAATCTTTCACTTAAGTGTTGTGAATCTTTGGAATTCTATTAAGACCTGTGTCATTGATCTATCAAGATAGATCTTGATAGATTTCTGGATATTGAGGGAACTAAATAATTTAGAAATAGTGCAGGAAGATGGAGTTGAGGTAGAAGACCAGCTATAAACCTATTGATTGGAGAAGGCTAGAAGAATTGATTGGCTAATCTAATTCCTATTACTTGTGTTCTTACGTAAGGCAGAAAAAAAAACACATTGTTATAGTGCCTTTCATGTGCTCAAGACATCACAAAATGCTTCATAAACAATTACATAGTTTTGGAAATGCAATCATTGTGTACATTGTTTTTAACTGTATTATGCATTGAGTTGATTGTCTTTTCCAGATGGTGTTAACTGCTTTCCTTGCTATAATTGATGCAAATGAATATGCAGGATTACCTCCCAATTGCAGAGATGAAATCCCACTTCATTTGCTAAAGAAGAGGATCAGCATCACACATCCTTCAAGTATTTTCTCAGTGCTGGAAAGACGTGATCAAAAGCAAAATCACAGCTGCCCAGCGTGGTCTCCTGAACTACTGGCAAGTTCACACATTGAGAATAGGTCATTCTCACCTTGGAGCTACAGGTAAGATGAAATCCAAAATGTAGTTTGTTTTTATCCATGTAATATTACTTTACTTGAGAAAAACTATTGAAAGATCCATAGCTCTAAGATCCTAACTTAAGCAGGCAATGTGTGTGCAGCAGCATGTTAGACTAGACTGGAGATTATAAATTAATATCTGCACAAAATCTGCTGCATCAAATTGAATTCTATAAAAATATGGTAATTTGTACACTTGGCTTCTAACCTTGTTACAAACATGGACAAAAGAGCTGAACTTAGTGTTGAGGTGAGAGTTAGAAACTGAAGCAGTCCATCTTCATATGCAGCAAAACCTGGAATATCCAGGTTTGAGCAGATAACTGGCAAGTAACATGTACTCCAGACAAGTGCCAGGCAATGGCCATCTCCAATGAGAATGAATCTAAAATTACCCTTTACGTCATTATCATCACAATCAACATCATATGAGGTCACCCATTGACCAGAAACTGAAGTGGACCAGCCATACTGTGGTGACAAGACTAGGTTAGAGGCCAAGAATTATACAGTAAGTAACTAGCCTCCTGTCTCCCAAATGCCTGTCCACCATCCACAAGCTTTATGTCAGGACTGTGATCGAATACTCTCTACTGGCCTGGATGAGTGAAGTTCCTACAGCACTTAGGAAGTATGATTCCATTCAGAACAGAGAAGCCTGCTTGACTGGCATCCCATGTGTTACCTTCAACATCACTCCATTCAACACCAATGCACAGTGACAGAGCATACCATCTACAAAATGCACTTCAGGAACTCACCAAGGCTCCTCCAACAGCACCTTCCAATCTGTGACATCTATTACTTAGAAGAACAAGAACAGCAGAGCCAGGGGAACACTAACACCATGCAAGTTTCCTCGCATGCCACACACAATTCTGGCTTGGTACTGTGTCACAATTCCTTCACTGTCACTGGGTCTAAATCCTGGAACTTTCTTCCTAACAGCTCAAGGAATACAGTGATTGAAGAAGGCAGTTCACTACCATCTTCCACAGGTAATTGGGCAATAAATGTTGACCGAGCCAGAGATGCCCACAACACATGAATGAATAAAAAAATCAGCTCTATTCTCCACCAATACACTTGACCTTGTTACCACCAGCCACTGTGTTGTCAGTCATCCAGTCCTGCATGAGCTGAAATTTCCTCCAGTGAAACATTGGCAGATTAAAGTCATCTATGACAGACCTTACTGCAGACTCCATTCCCTTCCCATTCTGTTCCCTCCTTCCATTGAATCCCATATCCAACTTTATGTACAAACACAAAACATCTACATTTGTGTTTTTCATATCACCCATTGCCCCTTCTACCTCTGCTATTTTCTTTCAAAACATTCAACCCTGCCTTTGACACCTTCACTTGCAAATATGTCTCAAATGCCTTTCTATCCTTCACTATCCATAAACTTTAGTTTCTTCAAAGTTTTACAGCCTACTGGATGCCAAACCCTACTCATCTATCGACTCTGTCCTTGCTAACCACATCAGCTCCTAATTCAAAAACTTTCTATTTGAAACTTTCCACTTCATATTTAATTCCCTCATGGCCTCCTCTCTCCCTAATTGTGTAATTTTGGTCAACCCTACACTGCTCCTCAAAATTCTTAGCCCTAACCTTGTGCAAGGTCCAACCACCAGCTCACTTTGTTTCACCAATGGCAACAGTGCCAATGTGCTAAGTACTCCACACTTTAGAATTCTCTTCCTAAATATACTTTCCTTTGCACATTACTCTTCTCATTAAACAATAATTTGCATTTATAAATTGGCATTAGCATGATAAAGCAGCTCTAACTGATTCGCAGAAGTGATTATCAAACAAAATTTGAAACTGAGCCGCTTAAGAAGACATTAACAGAGGTGAGCATCTTAAAAGAAGAAAAGGAGACAGAAACTGACACTTAGGGAAGACATTCCAAAGCTTAAGTCCAAATATTTGAACCAGCTTTCTCTTTACATTTTTTTTTTCAGATGGCACCTCCAAAGACCACTGTGAGACATTTTGCTATATTAACTAAATATATATTAGTAGTTCAGCCACAAAGTCCCATAAGTGGAAACACATATCAGAAATCCAGACAAAGAGGTCAGTGTGGTCCATTGCAGCTGATTGATTTCCAGTATGATCTAACTGACAGTCATTATGCCTTAATCCATAAAGACCAAGAGGAGTGTGTATTCTGCCAATCAATTAGATCAGGGCAGATCTGTATCCTAACTCTGTCTATTGTGCTTTAATATCCTTGCTCAACAAAAATCTTCAACTTCAGTTCCAACATTTTCTATTAACGTCTAGCCGAAGCAGCTTTTGAGGGAAAGCAATTTCAACTTCTAAACCTAAAGCAATACAAGGTCAGAAATCACACAACATTAGGTTACAGCCCAACAGGTTTATTTGAAAACACAAGCTTTCAGACCCTCAGTCCTTTTTCAGGTGTTAATGAGAGAGGTAGTATCAAACACGGAATTTATAAGTAAAAGATCAAAGTTTCACACCACTGATGAGGATGTATTAAACAAACCTAAGATGCTGTTAAATGTTTAATCAGTTACAAGGTTTTAATTGATTAATATGTATATGTAAATCCCCAAATTCCTTTCAAGTCACGGTCCTGAGAGAAACAAAGGTTTTATCAGTGCAAAGAAGAGGTGATGTTTTAGGTCAGACAATGCATGTTAGGTTTGAGGCCTTGTTTAGAATCTGTTTGTGCTTTAGTTTGGAGTCAGACTGGATTTATTTCTAAAGTAGGAATTTATAAAACGCGACATTGACTGACTGTCTCTAAATTGTGTCGTTTTTCAACAAAATAAAATGTATCTGCAAATACAAATTCACCGCATGGATTCACGTGTGTGTGAGTTTGAGGGAAGGAGGGAGAGAGAGAGTGCGTGTGTGTGTGTCTTTGAGAGAGAGGGAGAGAGGGTTTCTCTGTGTGTGTGTACGCGCATGCGCGCGTGCACTTGAGAGACAGTGTGTGCATGAGAGAGGATCCATGTGAGAGTGTGTGCATGTGCGTGTGTTACATAGAACATAGAACAGTACAGCACAGTACAGGCCCTTCGGCCCACGATGTTGTGCCGAACTTTTACCCTAATCATAAGGTCTATCTAACCTCCACCCCTACCTTATACTATCATCCATATGCCTGTCGAATAGCCGCTTAAATGCCCCTAATGAGGCTGACTCCACTACCCTCTCCAGCATTCCACGCCCCTACTACTCTCTGAGTAAAGAACCTACCTCTGACCTCTCCCCTATATCTACCTCCACTCACTTTAAAACTATGCCCCTTCATAATAGCTACCTCCACCCTAGGAAAAAGTCTCTGGCTGTCCACTGTATCTATACCTCTGATCATTTTGTACACCTCTCATCCTTTGTCGTTCTAAAGAGAAAAGCCCTAGCTCTCTCAACCTTTCCTCGTAAGACTTTTCCTCCATTCCAGGCAACATCCTGGTAAATCTCCTCTGCACATTTTCCAACACTTCCACACCTTTCCTGTAATGAGGCAACCAGAACTGGACACAATACTCCAGGCTTTTGTATAGCTGTATAATTGTATAGTGTTTGTGAGGGAAAGAGAGAATGAGAGTGTGTATTGTGTGAGAGAGAAAGTGTGTGTATGAGAGAGGATTTGTGTAAGTGTGTGTGTGTGTGTCCATGTGTGTGAGAGTGTATAGTGTGGTGGGGTCACCTGTTGTGCGACATGAACCCAAGATCCCAGTTGAGGCCATTCTCATGGATACTGAATTTGGCTATCAGCCTCTACTCGGCGACTCTGTGTTGTTGTGTATCCCAAAGTCCACCTTAGAGGATGTTTACCCAAAGATCCGAATCTGAATGTCCTTGACTGCTGAAGTGTTCCCCCACTGGGAGGGAACACTCCTGTCTGTTGATTGTTGCACAGTGTCCATCACCTGTTGTCATAGTGTTTGCATGGTTTCACTAATGCACCATGCCTTGGGGCATCCTTGCCTGCAGCGTATGAGATAGACAACATTGGCCGAGTCACATGAGTATCTGCCGTGCACGTGGTGGGTGGTGTTCCTACGTGTGATGGTAGTGTCCATGTCGAAGATCTGACATGTCTTGCAGAGGTTGCCATGACAGGGTTGTGTGGTGTTGTGGTCGAGGTTGTCCTAAAGGCTGGGTAGTTTGCTGCAAACAATGGTCTGTTTAAGGTTTGGCGGTTGTTTGAAGGTGAGAAGTGGAGGAGAAGTGGAGATCTTGGCGGGGTGCTCATTGTCATCAATAATGCATTGATGGCTATGAAGAACATGGCGTAGTTTCTCCAGTCCCGGGACAATGGAGGGTACTCTATCTGACATATCCTGTGTCTGTCTTCTGAGGAGGTCATTACGATTTTTCGTTGTGGCACGTCGGAACTGGCGATTGATGAGTTGAGTATCGTATCCTGCTCCTATGAGGGCTTCCTTCAAAACCTTCAGGTATCCGTCTCATTCCTCCTAATCCGAATATATCCTGTGTATGCGTAGGGCTTGTACGTAGGGGATGGCTGTTTTAATATGTCTAGGGTGAAAGCTAGAGAAGTGCAGCATCATGAGGTTATTTGTGGTCGAGTGAGGTATTGAGGTGTCCATCCCTGATGGGCATGTGTCCAAGAATGAGTTTGATTCTAAAGAGTAGTCCATGGTAAGTCTGATGGTGGGATAAAACTTGTTGAAGTCGCTATGTAGTTGTTTCAGTGATTCCTCACCATGTGTCCAAAGGACTGTGACTTCAAAGGAATTCAGGAATTTACATTTAAATATTAATCAATTAAAATCTTCTAACTGATTAAAGATTATAACAGCATCTTAGGTTTGTTTAATACATCCTCATCAGTGGTGTGACTCTTTGATCTTTTACTTATAAATTCTGTGTCTGATACTACCTCTCTCACTAACACCTGAAGAAGGACTGATGTTCCAAAAGCTTGTGTTTTCAAATAAACCCGTTAGACTATAACCTGGTGTTGTATGATTTCTGACCTTGTCAGTCCAGTCTAACACCAACACCTCCACGTTAAAGCAATACAAATTGCCACTGCAACTTGTTAATGTAATTTAACCCTTTCAGCCTTACTTTCATTCTGGTAAATCTACATTCCATCTATTTCAGGGCTAATAGGTGTTTCCTGAAGTGCAGTGTCCAGAACTAAAAGCAACGACTCTAACTGAGGTCTGATCAAAGCTCTTTTAATTTTTAATATTAAATACCTTATACCAGATGGGAGGTGTGTTTTGCACAGGTATGTTTATAGTGTAGTATACAGCATGTGTGTAGCTCATGAACTCAAACTAAAATATTTACAACTTTAACAAATTCTACTTTCCAATGGTTTAGGATTAATAAGGACCCTAAACGTATCCCTGCAACGATTCCAGAAGCTGTTTGTCTGTTGTGGCTGCATCAGCTTTAGCAAGATGAAGCATACACTGGATTACATCTCATACCCGTGACAACTACCATGCAGGTCTATTATCACACAGCCCGTGGAGAACATAAGTTTCAGTATGAAACTAAATGGATTGAAATTGCTGTTGCTTGTACGTGCATCTCTCCAAAGATGGGTTTAATTAATCATTATTCGTAGCGGATGGAGGTGCCTTGCTGTAATTGTAACTGTATTTGGTAGAATAATGCACTGAACTAAAATACTCTGAACTGTATTTCTATTGTGTTGCAACTTTTTACTGTTCTGAATTGGACCGTCCTTGAGGGCGAGACACACAAAGCCCCTTTACAGAAGATCTGCACTTTTTGGAGATGCATTGTACTTATAATAGTTCTGCTTTAGTATGAAAGTACTTCAAGTGATTTTTCACCCTCCCGCCTTCCCCACCATTTTGCCATCACTGCAATTGTCTCTAAGCTCCAAAACATTCCGTTCTCTCCAGATATCTTTGCGCCTCTAATTCTGCCCATTCTGCAATCTCAAGTTTAAATATGCCACTGTTAGCAGCCATGCCTACAGCTCACTGGTCCTTAATCTCCTCAGTTCTCTCACCAAACCTCTCCACCTCCCTTTCTCCTTTATGATTCTCCTTGAATCCTACACCTTTGACCAAGCTTTAAATATCTTTTTATGACAGTCAGTATCAAACATTTTTAAAAAATTTACTTGAGATGTGGACATTGCTTGCTGGGCTGGCACTTATTGCCCATCCCTAGTTGCTATTGAGAAGGTGGCGGTGAGCTGCCTTCTTAAAAGACATCTGGATGGGTATATGAGATAACAAGGTGTACAGCTGGATGAACACAGCAGGCCAGGCAGCATCAGAGGAGCAGGAAAGCTGACGTTTCAGGTCTGACCCTTCTCCATATGCATAGGAAGGGTTTAGAGGGACATGGGCCAAATGCTGGCAAATGGACTGGATGAACGTAGAATATCTGGTCAGCATGGACAAATTGGACTGAAGGGTCTGTTTCCGTGCTGTACATCTCTATGACTCTATAACCACTGCAGTCCACGATCTGCAGGTAGATCCACTATTCTGTTAGGGAGGGAGCTCTGGGATTTTGATTCCGCAACACTGAAGCCAGGCTGATATATTTTCAAGTCAGGATAAGAGTGGCTTGGAGGAGAACTTGCAGATGGTCGTGTTCACATGTATTTGCTGCCCTTGTCCTTCTAGGTGGAAGTAATTATAGGTTTGGAAGGTGAATTTCTACAGTGCATCTTGTAGATGGTACACACTACTGAAACAGAGTGTTAATAGTGAAAAGAGTGGATGTTTGTGCATATGGTGCCAATCACGTGTCCTGCTTTGACCTGGATGAAGTCAGGCTTCTTGAGTGTTGTTGGAGCTACACTCATCCAGGCAAGTGGACAGTATTCCAGCACACTCCTGACTTGTGCCTTGTACATGGTGGTCAGGCTTTGGGAAGTCAGGAATACTCGCTTCAGTATTCCTAGCCTCTGACCTGCTCTCAAAGCCACAGCATTAATATGGTTGGTCCAGTTCAGTTTCTGGTCAATGGTAATCCCCAGGCTGTTGACAGTGCAACTTTCAGTGATGGCAATTCCACTGAAGTGAAAGGTCCAATGGTTAAATTGTCTCTTTTTGGAAATGGACATTGCTTGGCATTTGTGTGGCAGGAATGTTACTTGTTGCTTTTTAGCCCAAGCCTAGATATTGCATCATTTGGACATGGATCAGTAGTTTATAATGATCCTGTGAAGTGCCTTGGACATTTTATGATGTTAAATGCTTAATGTTAAATGTAAATATTTGTGTGAACTGTCTATTGGTAAATAAATTAGTCAGTTGTTAGTCTCTTACAAGGAAACAAGGAACAAAAGATCCAGAGTAAAAGTGCAAATGTATTCTGGAAAGCAAAGTATAATGTAAAATGAAGCAGTATTTGAACGTACTGAAATTATGACTAATTAAAATGTAGCAGAAAAATAGGAAACCTGGAAAAATGTGTTGCTACTTGTTTTTAAAATAATTAAACAGACCTTACAAAAACACCAGATTTACTTTTGTGTTTTTTTTAACAGTTTGAGCAGCCTTTACAATCATTTCCTCAGGTGACAGCCTTAATTCCAAAAGACATCCCGACTGACTGACTGACTGGTAGGCAGAGAGTAAAATAAGGACATAACAAGGGAGAACAGAAGGAAAGAGGCTGTTTCTGTCACTGAGTATCCTAGAACAGAAAGAAAATCCTATTCTAAAGTATACAAAGTAAAATAAAACCTATGTTTACAGCACAGGAGACCACTCAGCCTATTGTGCTGTACTAACCCTGAAAAAGCTTTCAAGTTTGTTCCACTCAGAGATAGCAAGAACTGCAGATGCTGGAGTCAGAGATAACACAGTGTGGAGCTGGAGGAACACAGCAAGCAAGGCAGCATCAGAGGAGCAGGAAAGTTGACATTTTGGGTCAGGACCCTTCTTCAGAAATGGGGAGCGGGAGGGGAGCTCAGAAATAAATACAGAGAGGAGGGGTGGGGCTGGGGAAGGTAGGTGGAATGGTGATAGGTGAGTGCAGGTATGGAGTGGAAGGAATTGGTCAGTGAGGTGGGAGGGGCAGATAGGTGAGATAGAAGAAGGACAGATTGTTTCAGGTCAAAGAGGCAGGGATGAGACCGGGGGTGGGGAGATTTTTAAACTGGTGAAATCCACATTTACGCCATTGGGCTGTAGGCTCCCGAGGTGGAATATGAGGTGCTGCTCTTCCAGTTTGCGGGTGGTGTCACTGTGACACAGAAGGAGGCCCAGGATGGACACGTCACCCAGGGACTGCGGGGGGGGGGGAGTTAAAATAGTTCGTGGCCAAAAGGTGTTGTCATTTGTCACGTACAGAGCACAGATACTCTACAAAACGGTCTCTGAGTCTCCGCTTGGTCTCACCAATGTAGAGGAGACCACATTGGGAGCAGTGGATGCAGTAGACCACGTTGACGGATGTACAGGTAAACTCCTGTCTGATGTGGAAGGTTTGTTTGGTGCCCTGAATGGAGCTGGAGTTGGGGGGGTTGGGGGGGGTGGGTGGTGTAGTAGCAGGTGTAGCACTTCCTGCGGTTGCAGGGAAAGGTGCTGGGGATAGTGGGGCTAGCGGAGAGTGTGGACTGGATGAGGAAATCATGGAGAGAGCAGTCCCTACAGAAGGCAGATGGGGTGGGGAGAGAAATATCTCTTTGGTTGTGGGGTTGGATTGTAGGTGGTGGAAGGGGCAGAGAATGATACGTTCGATGTGGAGGTTGGTGGGGTGATATGTGAGGACAAGGGGGATTCTGTCTTTATTTTTGTTGGGGGAGGCGATGTGAGGGCAGAGGTGCAGGAAACACAAGAGATGCGGCTGAGGGCATTTTCGATCACCAGAGGGGGGACGTTACGGTTCTTGAAATTGGATGATATCTGGGATATGCGGGAATGGAACGCCCCACCTTGGGAGCACATGTGGCGGAGGCGGAGGAATTGGGAGTAGGAGATCACATTCTTGCAGGAAGGTGGGTGAGAGGAGGTGTAGTCCAGGTAGCTGTGGGAGTCGGTGGGCTTGAAATAGATGTCAGTTTTGAGGCAGTCACCAAAGATGGAGTCAGAGAGGTCCAGGAAGGAGAGGGACGTATCGGAGATGGTGCAGGTGAATTTGAGGTTGGGGTGAAAGGTGTTAGTAAAGTTGATGAACTGTTCAAGCACCTTGTGACAGCACGAGGCAGCGCCAGTACAGTCATCAACGTAGCGGAGGAAGAGATGGGGGATGGTGCCAGTGTAACAGCAGAAAAGGGACTGTTCCAGTATCTTACAAAGAGGCAGGCATAGCTTGGGCTCTTGCAGGTGCCCATGGCCACCCCCTTAGGCTGTAGGAAGTGGGAGGAGTTAAAGGAAAAGTTGTTAAGGGTCAGGACGATTTCAGTTTAGCGGATGAGGTGTGGTGGAGGGGGACTCGTTGGGTCTGTGGGAGAGGAAGAAGCGGAGGTCTTTTAGGCCATCTGCATTGGAGATACAAGTGTACGGGCATTGGATGTCCATAATGAAAATGAGGAGTTGGGGGCCAGGGAATTGGAAGTCTTGGAGGAGGTGGAGGGCGTGGGTGGTGTCCTGGGCGTAGGTGGGGAGTTCCTGGACTAGGGGAAGAAAACAGAATCAAGGTAAATGGAGATAAGTTCAGTGGGGCAGGAGCAGGCAGAGACAATGGGTTGGCTGGGGCAGTCAGGTTTGTGGATTTTGGGAAGGAGAAGGAAATGGGCGGTGCGGGTTTGGTGAATGATTCCACTTGTCCTGCCCTTTGTCCTTATAACTGCAAATTTGTTCAAGTATTTATCCAATTCTCTTTTGGACATTATTTTTGATTCTGCTTCACACAATTTTTCAGGTAATGTGATACATGCTCAGTATTTTTATTTCCTTTCATGTCTCTGCTGATTCTTTTGCTAATCACCTATGTTCCCTGGAACTTTTTGTTTAAGTACAAGTCGGCATGTTTTCCTTGACAGTATTCCTCTTGCCTTGGCACACTTGTATTCAAATCAAAAAAACTTCTCATACTTCATGCTTTGGTGCTGTTTGCACTGGCATTAAAAGTAAAACATCCAAAAAATGTTTAATTGTGGGCAAGGGCTGATTGTCAACAGCAACATTAGGAGTCAGTCACCTGGAAGCATTATAAAATCAAAGCTCAAATATACTGACTTATCCAAGAATAACAGCCTCAAATTACACATCAGGGTTTAGTCTTTCTCATTTACAATTCTAAGGAATGGTAGCACAGCAGTTAATAGACTGATCCAGTGATCCAGAGGTCTGGACTGAAGATCTGCAGACTCAAATCCAACCATGAATGCTGTGCAATTTTAAATTCAGTTAAAAATCAAATCTGCAATAGAAGCTAATATCATTACAGGGGGTGAACAGACAAGTATTGAACTGTTGTAAAACCCATGTAATTCTGTAAGGTTCTACAGAGATGTACATGGTCTCGCCTATATGTGGCTCAAGAGTCAATTATTAGCTGCCCTCTAAAGTGGCAATTACGGAAAAATGTTGGTCTTGCCAACAATGTCAACACCCTGTGAAAACGAATGGATAAAAAAATAGCTTGGGCCTTCTGATGAAGTATCAGATTGATAGAACTTGAGCACAG